TAATTAACATAGGTACCCGACTTGGCTTTCTTCTGCTATTGCATGCATTAATTTCCCCCATCATTTCTCTCCCCTGAATGGAAATGTTTGGTTCAAGATCCACTTAAGTGGGTGGGTGTGACCCTGGAAGTCTTCATATGGGGATCAAGACATGTAGGCTGAGGCTTCTCCAAAAACCACAACAAGGAGGCTTTCTTTTATGTATGCCGTGATAGAAACCCCTCTTTAAACATCAGCTTTCTAGTTTCCATTGTACTGCTACTATGTGAGTGGCTGTTACATTGGTGGTGGCCGTGGGTGCTCTAGGAGGGGCTGACAGGCCAGCAGAACAATGCTCTAGTGAATTACTTTGATTACTTCCATGCAGCTCAATTCTATTCTCTGTACCTGTGACCGTACGTTTAGGGTTGGCTCAACTGAACATCTCCCTCTTCCGTTCCAGCTTCCCCAGTATCTGTCCCTAGCCACAGGTTTTCTTCTACCCTTGCTTTCCTATCAGTATAATCGCATATATAGAAATTTATTACTCTGAAACCCCCTCCAGACCTTCTTTTGTATTTATTCATTGTCATTTCAGTGGAATTTAGTGAGGTAAGGAAAGTAAATGATCCACTTAGCCACTTTAAGCTGGAAGCAGCAGTGTCCTCCTTAAACACTACACTTTGAAAATAAGGTGCCCATATTTTACACATTGGACCAGAGAAAGGAAGTCCCTAATAGTGAAACATAAAATACAATAGATTAGGGATGTGTTGAGTGCCCTAGAGATTCAAAAGCAAATAGCTGAGACCCAAGGAAAAAACTGTTCAAGGCTATTTCATTTTTAGAAAATGAGGTAAGATCTTTATTGTTGTCATAAAATATAGATGTAGCATTTTCTGCCTCAGTACTCGAGTTTTGTTTGAATGTTAGCCTTCTGTATTATTCATAGTGGGCCTCTGGTACTAACACGTGAAAGTGCTGTTTATGCTTTAAAGTTCTGAAAAATTGAGAGCTACGATGATGTCAATGAATACAGCCTGCTCTTGACTGGATCAGGTTCCATAAGATGTAGGTATGTTCTGATGAAAAAAATATGAAATTATAGATTTTCATTTTTTAGGCTCACCTTATAGAAATATGATTTACAATTGCTTAAATAGGCCTTGATAAAAATTTAAATTTTTTATATGTAAGAAATAAAAAGTGAAGAAGAAAAAAGTAGAGAAAATTTATATTCTAAACTCCAAACAAAAATCTAACCAGAAAAAAATCTTTATGATTAAACTGTACATAATCTGTTGCCTTTGTTATAAAATACTTCCCATATTTACTGACAGTCAATTAAAATTAAGATTTTGCACAGTAATATTGTAGACAAACTTGCATGCTTTATATATTACAGAAAATGATAGTTGCTCACTTAAAGCATTCTTCAAAGGCTATTAAATCTACTTTAAAGCTGTAACATGGATTCACTGGGTTGGTATGAATTTAACCTTCATATGTATATGTGATACATATAGATACAGAAATTCATGTATAAATGGATGTTTCTCTTGCTGCTAAGAATTCTAGACCTCTATGTGTATTTTTTTCTCACTGAGTTACAAACTGTACATCAATAAACTTGATTCTAGCTGATTTGAAACCAGACACATTGTAAATTCTTGTTATTTTATACAATAGATAATCCTTATATCTTATTTTATATATTAACATCTCTTTCCCCAATGAAGGTTATTAATGCAATAACAGAATGAACATGAATCCGTCTCACAATATTTGCTTTTCTGATGGAGACATTTATATCTATCATCATATCTATCTATCCTGTAATTCTTAATTATATAATTATCTACAATCTGTATTCTTTTCTTCTTTTCCCACCTCTCTCTTGATGATGGTTCCTCAACTATAATCCGGGGTCATTTCTCAATTTTTTTTCTACTTAACATATTTTCAGCATTTCAGAATTTTAAGAAGCTTTTTTTTACTTTCGTTACATTGTACTTTTCCATCTGGCTTGGAAAGAAGTCTATCTTAGTATGGAGTTTCCCAAAGTATATTCTGTAGAACACAAATTGCTTAGAATGTTAATGGGCAACACAAGAAAAAAAATGTCTATGGTCAAATAGATTTGAAAAGCATTGGATTAAACAGATCAGTTTATTGTAGAATGACTCAAAACCTTTAACAAAAGAAAGATAAAAGATTCCAGACTCATAGAAGAATATAATTCTTAATTCCCAAACCTATTGACATGGAATGCTGTGTTTGTGGAACATCTCACTACTGTTAATGTGAAATCCTTTCAGAAATGCTAATTTGGTGATTGAGAACATAGGCTTGGAAGTCAGGTGGACATAGATTCAAAGCTGGCTTTGAAACTTACTAGTCATAGGACTTCAAGCATTTTACTTATCTTCTCCATTGTTAAATAACAGTGCATTTATTGCAGTCTTGCTGTATGCTCAGCACTTTTCTGTATGTGCTAAATATAGTATCTAATTTAATCACTGGAACAATATTTGGGTATGGAATACCTACATTTTAGAAGCGATAAAGCTCGAAGTTTAAGTAACATGCCCAAGTTTAAGCTATTCCTTCATTAGAATATATGTTAAATGAATCACTGTATTAGTTTAAACTACATGAAACTGCCATTTTCTACGGGTCAGAAAAGGATGTACAGGCAATTTCATTTGGTTCAACCTCAATAACTAAAACACTTCGGGTTTCCAGGCACAGAGCAAGTGTTCACATTATTGTGGTTGTTGTTGTATCCCTTTCTTTCTCTGATCAGAAACTTATCTCTGTTCGACTCTGTGAAGCCAGTCCCCTAATCAGCTCTAAGGGGGGCATTCCTCAAGAATTTCATTCACCTTTATGGCTCTTAATCTTCATTCACAGTGATCCACAGCTACTCTTACAGATTCATTTTTTATTTCTATAGAATGATTCCAGGTCTAAGTAGAACTACAGAGTTATAGAATGTAAGACTTGGAGGAATTGTAGAAATTATCTGGTGTAAGCCCCTCATTTTATAGATAAAGAAGGCTACTTTCCAAACTTCCAGATGAGTTTTAATCTG